ACGTAACAAATATATAAATAGCAAGAAATGATTAAAAACTTACAAGACGGATATCTTTTCAATCGAATCACAATGATTCGACGAAGATATTAAACTGGATAAGATAAGAAAATTTAATTCGATAAAATATACACGAACGGTTTCATAACTCTTCGACTCTTGTTATCGCAGTTGAGATGTTTACTAGGCGTGGACGAGCGTGTGGAACGATATAATTGCGAATGGACGAGCTTTGGTAGGCGGAGATGTTTCTCGAAGTTTCTCGGTCGCGGCCCACTTACGCGGGGCAAAATATCCCGCGGAGCAATCTTATTTTATTTCCCTATTCCTCGTACTTTTCTCTCCCATTTTTCCTTCCAGAAATAACGAGGATAACCAATGGATTTATGCGAAATGTACGCGACGGTAATTGTTGGGGAAAAAAAATATTGGAACACGTGGCTGGATCGCACGTTGTTTGCATGTTCAATTAACTTTTTTTTGTAGATATAAAAGATGGAGGGATTCGTAAAAGTTTTTCAGGCTGGTATATATATATATTATGAAACACGTTGAGAGATTATATATATATTTTTTTCAGATTATATTTTACCAATCACATAATGTACATTGTTCATCGAGGTGAAAAATAGAATTTATTCTCTTAAACGTTTCTTTATTGCTCATTTCACTTGAATCATTCTTTTTAGTTTCTCTTCTGTTCTTTCCTCTCGTTTTTAGATTGGAGTTTGTTTATGCGAAATAAAATTTGTATAAACAAAAGCGAAGGAGAAGGAAAGTTAAGTGGATGCTTCATCCTTCATGATCCTTTTTTTTTCACGCAATACTAAAATAAACCCAATTTCCTCTCTTAAAGCTTATTATTATTTTTGCAAATATTAGAAGATATTCGCGAGTTGTTGAAACTAAATTAACTTTCAAAATTAACGCTCGATATTTATATTCGAATAAAATTATCACAAATCTTGATAATCTTTATTTTAATACATTTTTAACAAAAGAAAGAGTATGCTTGAAATATGTCGTCAGTTATGATTTTTATCATCCCTCCCCATTGTTTCGACTCGTTGAAGCGAAAAATTTATTCCATCAAACGACCAGACTTTCCCAGACGCGTCACAATCACCGTGTCCAAAACGCAAACAAAGAAGAGGACACAAAAGAAGAGGGAATATTCTCTTTGCAAGAAGAAAACCCCTCGTTTTCGAAACCTTCCACGTCCATTTGCATCGAGCCGTGGTGAATCAAGATAATCAAGAAATTTAATCAACCCCTCCACTTCCTCCTCCTCCCTCCCAACATTTCCTGCTCCTCCCATCTCTTTTCCAACGATGTTCTCTGGCGCAATGCGTAATATAGGGTCTCGTTTCTCGAGAAAAGACGTGTCCGAAGAAAATTAAGATTTAACCCGTCGATTAGGCGTGTCGACGAGAAGATTCTCCCCCTTCCTCCTCTTCCTCTTCCTCCTCTTCGATCCTCTGGGACTCGTATTCACGGGAATAGAACAGGTTCGTCCTTTGGATAGGTTCCAAATAGTAGTTTAAAATCTCTTTCTCCAATATTTTTCAATATTTGTAATAAATTGTTTGCGATGGTGTTAATTGAAATTTCGTGATTTTTTTTTCTTTAAATTTTAAGATTCCTGGAAAATGATAGGAAAATGATGTTAAATAGTAACTTAAAATTTCTTTCAATATTTTTCAATATTTGAAATAAATGTTTCTTAATTGAAATTTTGTGATTTTTTTTTTTAAATTTTAAGATTCCTAAGAAATGATGATAGTTTTAAAAAATACGATTATGATTTTTTTGAAATTTTAATGTTTTGACAGGCATATAAGTAGTTTACACCAATAAATTCCGAGCCAACTCTTTCTTTCCAAATTTTCTATGTCTGTTATAGGATCCATGGAATACTAATAAATTTTCACAATGACAATTCCCAATTATATCATTATTGTACAACGAATAAAGAAAATAGAAAAAGAAGTCAATAATTTAATATTAAAAAATAAATATTAAATTATGAATTCAGAAATAACCAAATCTTGGTATCCCAATTCTATGCATAAAAATATCAACATAGATAATTTGGAAATATAAATATGATTCATCACACCTCATACATTAAATTTAATTCATCTTAACGACGTTCTTGATAGAATTCGATGATGAATTGAAAGAAAACGCAAAGGAGAAATGGGAAGAGCAACGAGCGCTAATTATAAAAGGGTCAAGTGCTCGTATTTTTTTTTTTTTTTTTTTACTAAGCTGTTCACCCAGAGTGCATACGGAGTGTGCGGGTTTACGGGTTCCGTGGACTCGTAATGGTTCTTGGAACACGCTTTGTTAAACGAAGAATCATCAGGCGGAGATTCGAACGTCGATTAAATTTTACGATGATCTCGTGACGACGAATATTCACACTTTTACCATTTTTTTTCCCCCAAGCGTTGAACGAAAATCTCATCGACACTTCCCTCTTAATTATTCACTTTCTAATTATCAGCTTTCTTATTTCAGGAAATGTAACGTGTATAAAATGTACATATTTTTTTCTCTTCTTCTCTTAATTACGATTCGTCCTGAAGCGAGAAAAATCCAAATTTCATTCCTTTCTTCGAAATGATTCCTTTCTTTCTTCGATCTTTTAAATAGAGGATCCAAAAAAATTGTTTCCATTGTAACTGGTAATATTAATTCAATTAATTTTGTACCAATTTTCTTACTACTATTTCCATTATTCATTCTCTTATCTAATAATATACGTCTGTCAACAAAAAGGAAGGGCATGAAGTGAGGCATTCGATGCAAAATTAAGAAGATCATCACGGAGGGTGAAGCAAATCAATCCATAGAAACACGCTTGATTCACGACCGAGACCTGTTACTCGAATCCCCCTCCCCCCTCGTTCGTCCCTCTTCACGATTGCTCGACGAGCTGTCTGTGCCTGCGCTGCGAATGAACAGCGACAACGATGCTCGAAAAATCTCTCACGAGGAGGGCGAGACGACCATGCAAACAGCTCGAACAAAGGAAAGGGGAGGGGAGAGGAGGGGGAGAAGGAGGAGAGGGTTATCGTCGAAATTGTGCCGACATTACTTCAGCTCCAAAAAATTTCTCTCGAAATTAGTCGCTCTCGCCGCTCCGGAGGATGGAAACAAACGTTGCGAGGGGGAAGAGAGAGAGAGAGAGAGAGAGAGAGAGAGAGAGAGAGAGAGAGAGAGAGAGAGAGAGAGAGAGAGAGAGAGAGAGAGAGAGAGAGAGAGAGANAGAGAGAGAGAGAGAGAGAGATTCTTAAAGGCGGAGAGGAAACTTGGAAAGGTGGCCTCCACCCTGCTCGTTAGCTGTTACAACTTGCAGAGGGCATGAAGAGATCCCTGTTCTCCCCCTCCCCCATAAAGATGGCCTCGACCATTCGATGTAACCTTCCCCTCGTGTGAGATTTCGTGTGTCAGGTTTGGCTGCGATTTCAATTTATATCCAATTGAAACTTGGTTGGCTTAATTTGCTTGAATGTTTGGAAGAGGGAGAGAGGGAGGGAGGGAGGGAGGGAGGGGGAGAGAGAGAGAGAGAGAGAGAGAGAGAGAGAGAGAGAGAGAGAGAGAGAGAGAGAGAGAGAATTGTTTTCTTTTAAGAAAAAATTAGAAAGAGATTAACACGAGACAAGGTTAAATTCCAAGATCTTTCTCTTGTGATAGGAAATAGATTTAACGATGATTTTTTTTTTTATAGGGAATTTGATTTTAATGAGAATTTTTGTGTAGAAGTTATTCAATTGATGATAAAGGTCGTACAGATTTTTTTTTATATAGATTAAAAATAAGTGTCACAAAATATGGATAAAATTTTTTCGGTAAACAATTCCTCGTTTTTACATAACATTTTGGACAGATAAATTTTTCTTTTTCACTTTGGTAACGATGTTAATTTATTATATATTTTTGATTAAAAAAAAAAAAAATCTGTGAAATTTCATCGTCACTCGAATAATATATTCGACTTTTAAAAGGTTGCAACGATGAGGGAAGAAAAATTTAAGCAATTTAGACGTGTGTCGGAGAAAGATTATATTAATAAAACAATATTTTCCTCGTTTCCTTGTAATCGTTTATTCGAAGGAATTTTCTCGTTTACGATCGCGAATGCATTATACCGACGGATTAAAGCATCTTATCTCGAATGCACAGACGGCCACAAGCAGCATTCGCATTGTATTTCACTCGCGACCGTGTATGAGGAACAAAAATGAACCTAGCAGAATATGAAACGTGACTTTAAACAAATATCGATTTTCACCAAGGAAAATTCGATTAGAAATTCGACTGATTTTAAAGACGTGAAGGAATAGTATAAACAAGGGATTGTATGTTTTAATAGGATGTAATAGAAATATCTTTTTTATTGAATTTTGGTACATTTCTGGTAAGATAAATGAAAAATACTTTGAACAAGTGAAATGAAACAAAGTAATTGAATTTTTATTCAAATTTAAATTCTTGTCTTGGATCTCGTATATTTTACTATAAAAATATTGCCCGCGTAATATAATGTCTTAAATGTCGGGTAACGAGTAAAATATGATAATAGAGGTCTTACATCACTTGTCACGTTCTATCCCTGTCTTGCCTTCTACCTATAATGCTTGATGCAAATATTTATTTTCGCTTCGTATTTTAAACCGTTTATGCCGGAGAATATTATACTTTCCTTTTTGAAGTGCAAGAAACATAATATATTTAAAAACGGGAAAATTGAAATCTGTTCAACATCGGTGAAAAAAAATTATTCTTTAAATTTCGCAAGTCGAAAAATAACGGAACAGAAGAAAAAAATGAAAAATTCAAAAGAAAATTATTTCATTCGATACGTAAAATAAAATATAATTATATCATCATTCGTGTATATTTTAATTACGACACGTTTCTACGTTCAAGAATCACGTGATCTGTCACCGAATGACAAGCAGACAAATAAATGGACGAAAAATATGACTTACCAGCTATGATATCAGTGATATGGCACTGCAGACAGACAACGAGAGCGAGCAACGATGTAGTTCTCATTTTTCACTCGATTCGAACCGCAGCCCTGCTGACAGACCAACTCGCCAAATCGATTGATGATCGTATATATATCGTAGGAACGCACGTGTAAACGTCGCACAATCGCGAAGAACGCCTTTGTGTTCTCAGTCCGTGCACTGGCTCTTACCACGTAAACATTTGCGAACGATGTAACGTTGTCACGTTCGATTCTCGACGTCCAACTATCCGACACGATCCGACGCGTACCCCTATCGTCCCATAACAATTAATATTTTCGATATCGGGAAGCGAGGAAACGTTAACCAAACTTCGCTTGACGTTTCGTCGCCGGCAAACGAGCGGACAACATCCTCCCTCCTACAAGGATCGAAACCGACTGAGCACGGCGCATCGAGCCCCTTTGCATCGTTGTCCGAAAAAGGGGTTATGCGCACGTGCGAGCATCGACCAATCGGAACGCACAAATGGCCATTGCTAACCGCACGCGATGTTCCGCGATTTTTTTTCTCGAATTTAAAAAGTGCCTTTCCCTGTTTTCGTTCACGAGATCCATGGAAACAGACTCCGCAGCCTCTTGTCGCCATAAAATTCTCACATCCGACCAGGCTTTTTCTTTCGTCGTTTGCGTAACGTGAGACTCGGATCGAGCATGTATGTGTGTGCACATCACGCTCGAGAGTATGCAATATACGCGCGTTGCAGCGCAACAGGCACGCGAGGACGTGAAATCTGAACTTGCGGTGTTTAAACAGATTTATGGAGAAAAGAAATTTTCTGGTATACGATGCTTATGAGGATTATAATGGTGTTTGTAAGTTGTTCGAAGAATTTTTTTTTTTAATGTAATTGTATCCATGATATAGTAATCGAATTATTTCTTTTTGTTAAAAATATCAGTGATTTATCAAAGCGACGATTTTAATACATTTTTATATTGAATCAAAGTATATTGTGTATATTCACGTATTATGCGTTTCTAATCTCTTCTCGTTATGCATATCTCGTGAATTTTATTTATTCGTTTCAAAAAAGTGCATATATATTGTTCAATAAATTTAATTAAAAGTTTCTAACTTTGAAAATATGAACTACGTGTTGCGACTATTTTTTACATTCGGGGATTAAATTTTTTTATCGGAATACATGCGAGCACGTAACTTTTGACATATTGTTTTAATATGTTTCAGTAATGTTATTTGAAAAAAAAAAAAAAAAAACGTACGATAAAAACTAATCATATTATACAATTTTCAAAGGTAGAAATAATCTTTTTAAATAATATTTTATGAATAAAATTACATTTCACGAAAATTAAAATTCGTATGTGATCAAAAAATAAATAAATATAATAATTAAAAACAATAACATTTGGAATTCCATTTCTTTATCATTTAGCTTTATCATATTCTCAATTATATAAAATTCTATATATATATTACGTATATTATAAAATGACTTGTGCATTATATATTGAAACAAATCCACGTTTTAACAAAATTGGTTATCAACTCCTACTAAAACATATTATGGAAATTCTCATTTTGATTTTGTTTGTTCGTGAATTATTTACGCATCGTAATTTCAAACTGCATATTGTTTCCCGTCGAAAAACCAGCTTTTTCCCCCTGTTTACTCGCATGACAGATTGTTCGTCGCTGTCAGACGCATTCAACGTAGTAGACCAGTTTCAAAGAATTATTTGAACCGTAAACATGGTTGCAAATAATTTTACAGAAAAAGATTTTTCATTATTGAAAATGTTTGTAAACGTTTAAATAATAATCAAAAATTATAAAATATATTTTAAATATAAAAGATCCATTTATAATTCTACATGGATATTTGATTTAATTTATAATATCTAGCGATACAAAAAAAGTATTGGTAAATCTGAATAGAATATATTCGGACATAACATTTAAATACTCGTAAAAGAATAAAAGATGGAAAAAGAAGAAATTTTTGCCGAAACCCGGGATCGAACCGGGGACATTTAGATCTTCAGTCTAACGCTCTCCCAACTGAGCTATTTCGGCTTGTTTTATTAAAATTTTTAATGGCGGTTTTACTCAAATTTAAAAAGATCGATTGACTTGTCATTTCGTTAATTCTAAAATACAATTAATCTTTTTTTTTTTTTTTCTTTCATATAACCACGATGCATTTTATTTCAATATAAAATATATTCCAATTTTTAGTTTCTATTTTTTTTATTTTATTATCACGCATTTCGAAATCTATTATAATCTAAATATTAATATTTTTATAAAAATAAAGTAATCTTTCGTAATATAAACTTGTTTGAATATTTTATATAACAATTATTTGAATTTAATATTGATTTGAATAGAATGTTAAAATAAATAAATATCGTAAAGGATTTATAGATTTATAGATTTATCGTATTGCACACTTGTTGAACTTCATTGAAGTACTAACAATATGCTATGATAATTGGTCAAGTTCCAATAATACTCACGATAAATTATAGTCCATGGTTTGCATTCGTCATTCTTTTCTCTAACTCGACCTACTTTTATCACATTGTTTCACATATCCTGTTGCTTGTCAGTCTTAGCACGATGTACAAGTTTACATTTCCCAGAACAGGCGTTAAGGTTATTCGAAGGGAGAGAGATTGGTTGCAATTCATGGTCGCCGACGAAATCATACGATAGATAAAGATGGATATAAATACTACGTAAACAAACCACGAATTTAAAAGAGAGACAAAAGAGATTATCAAGGACGAATAAGTTTAACTTAGATGTTACTTACTAAAACGTTAAACATCATTCATATAATAAAAAATTAAAAAAAAAATTAATTATGTAAAATATTTTTCAATAATTATTACATATGTGTTTATAATTTTTTTTAATTTAATATTTTTTGTTTCATTTTTATTATTTTTTTTTTTTTATATAAAAATATTTCATATTAAAAATTTATTAATATACATTACAATATTAAAAACTTCATTTTAGAATCTAATTAATTATTAAATATTATTAAATGAATTAGAATTAAAATATATAAATTTGGCGTGTTTTTGATCTTTATATTAATATCATCAATTATTATTTCTGTTTATTATTAATTAGATTATATTACATCTTGAAAAATTTTTAAGAAAGTGTTCGATGAAAATTAATATATTTTTTTCAAACATATATAAAATATAAATAAAATGTATATAAAATCTTATATTACAAATAAATTATTTATCATATTTATTGAATTATTGACAAGAAACAATTTTATGTATGGCTGTTAATGGAAAAACAGGAATAAACAACACTCTCGTCCTCGAAATTGTTAAAACGACTTGAAAAACATCGTCGAGGCCGCCATAATATTCTTCCTGCCTGAACTTGGCCTACAGTTTTGTGCGCTTGCTACGTTCACGACGTTCAGTGTCGCGTCGTGCGTAGATGGTGACGGTTCGTTGGAAGAGGATTTTTAGTTAATGGAAAGTTCACCGGGAATGTGGAAGTATATTTGCGAATAAATCTCTTCCTCGCGCTCTACCGAGTGTAGGTGCATCGAAGAAAGGGAAAAGTATCGTCATTCGCAGTTGCAATCGTACATTATGGCAAATTTAAGACAAACTCCGCTGACGTGTAGTGGACATACTAGACCCGTGGTGCATCTCGCATTCTCCGATATCACTGAATCTGGATATTATCTGATTTCGGCGTGCAAAGGTAATTAATTTTCGATTTTTTTTTTTTTTGCCTTGAAGAGAAACTTACCGGTGACTCGTATCGGTCAATCTCTTTCTTTTTTTTTTCTTTACGACCGACACGTTCTTGTTCGCCTTGGCCCAGTTTCTTCGAAAACCAAGGTTTTTGTAACTTACGTATTTCGAGGTTAGATACTGTATATTTGCGACGTTCGTACGATTTCCTGTATTCCGTTCGATAATTTCAAGACAAATGTATGAATTGGTTGAATTAATCTATACATTGATCATATATGTATTCATATATTATCTTGATGAAATTTTTCTAACCTATTTTAGCGAAGATTATTATTGAATCACGTGCATGTTTTATTTATTTTGTTTTTAAAATTGTAGTGTTTTCATGAATCATTAAAAATTTTTTTTAATATGTTTTTAGATGGCAAACCTATGTTACGACAAGGAGATACTGGAGATTGGATTGGAACATTTGAAGGACATAAAGGAGCAGTGTGGGGTGTTGCATTAAACCCTCAGGCTACAAGAGCTGCTTCAGGTGCTGCAGATTTTAATGCTAAAGTTTGGGATGCAATAAAAGGAGAAGAAATTCATTCGTTTCAACATAAACATATTGTTAAATCTGTCAACTTTAGTACAGACTCTAATTATTTGTGCACTGGCTCTAATGAGAAACTTGTACGAATTTATGATCTTAACAAACCAGATGCAGCACCACAAGTATATAAATTCATAAATTCATATTTGCAAATATAATATTTTGCATTTTTTTTTAATCAATAATATCAACAGGTTTTCTCAGGTCATAAAAATGGTATCAGACATGTTACCTTTTTCAATAATAATACTGCATTAATTACTTGTGGCGATGATAAAACATTAAGAGTTTGGGATAGGAATAGCGGCCAAGAAGTCAAAAGGTTAGATTTTCCGGCAATTCCAAATTCCATGGAAGTATCAAGAGATGGAAATATCATTACCACAACTCATTCCAATATAGTTACTTTTTGGAATAGTAGAGAGTATGTACATTTCTTTTTTTTATTATATATTTTATTTTGTGTTTGTGAATTTGTAATTGTAAATCTATAAATTGTGTCATTCATTTGTGTCAAAGAAAGAAATATAAGAAGGTATATAACAAAACAAGTTCAAGATATTTTGATACATAACATGTATTTTTTTATGTACTTATTATTAGTACAGGCACATTAATATCCTGAGCATGGATTTGTTATAGAACCTTCAAGTTAGCCTTGGTTCACTAGAAAATATTTTCTAGTGTAATATTTTACATTCTAATAAGTTTTATATTTTTTATTTAATATTTTTTAATTATGTACTAATAAAACTTTTAATTATCTGTACAGATTAACCAAATTACGCGAATACACTGCACCAACACAAATGAATAGTGCCAGTTTGCATCCAGATTGTAGTATTTTTGTATGTGGAGGAGAAGATTTAAAAATGTACAAGTTTGATTATACTACGGGCGCGGAAATTGGTAAATTAATATTAATTACGAAATTGATAACATAACTATTATATTTCTTTACAGTTAACATATTTACAAATATTTAATATTATTTTTAGAATCATTTAAAGGACACTTTGGACCTGTGCACTGTGTACGTTTTTCACCAGATGGTGAATTATATGCTAGTGGTTCAGAAGATGGTACATTGAGATTATGGCAAACAACTGTTGGCAAAACTTATGGTCTCTGGCGATGTATAGAACAAACACCTGCAATACAAGAAAATACTACTGTGCTTAATAATAAACAAGAAGTTCCTGCCAGTTAAAAATCGATTCATAAATAATGTATTTTAATACCTTTCAAAAGAGAAAAAAAGAGAAGAATACTTCATCGAGAGATGTACGTATTATATATATAAATGATAAATCACGAATTTTCATGGCAATTTATATCGTTGAAATTGTATTTAATCGGCTGATGTCTGTCATATGTTTTGTACATATATCAGATCTCTATAATATGTCTTGAATCAGCCTAAGTAATCGCGATATTCCGGGAAAAGCAATTTCATCGTAGTTTAATAAGCAATGGAAATCTGGGACGCCGTTTACTATTTATTATAGAAAAGAAAAAAAAAGAAATATTAACATTTATTAACATTATACATGTCACTATTATACTACAAAATTAGATAGAGGTGTAATGACAAAAAGAAAGACAATTCAGAATTAAATTTTGTGTTCGCATTTGTTATTTTCGCGTTATAACATTACTATACAAGTATAAAAAGGATTTATTTGGGCCACTTCTAGCGCAACTTTTTTAATATACATATCATTCATTCGCCTATTATTATTCACATTTTTATTTTGTCTAACAAACGTCACAATACCGTGACAATTTATTAAAGTCCTTTTTTCTCACACAGCAACGTACTACGAGATCACTGTACAATTTTTCTTTCAAACTGGCAATGACAGTTTTATACAAGTATATCATGTACTGACCTCTTTTGACTTTCCTTATTCCAGTACACCTTCTTACGTATATATATATATATATATACGTACATATATATAACATAAATTAAATACTTCTTATAATCTACAAAATAGTACTAAACATAACAAGAAAAAAAAAAAGAGAGAGGTATTCGTTACAAAATGAAACAATATTTAAAACATTTCCAGTCGAGTATATAATACAATGCGCGAATCTTAATATTACTTCTTGACCTCTCTTCATAGACGATTTCTATCAAAATGTACGAGTTGAAACGCGCGCATAACACATTCACCATGATTCTTGACTCGTATTCCTTACAAAAAAATTGTTCAACCTTTTATGATGATGAGTGCAGCTCGTTAAAAAACTTAACATCACTGTCGTTGTATGATCTCTCAAAAGGAAGACAGTGATTCTTTTGCGTGTGATAGTTAGTAAGCAACCAGTTATAGGAGAGAAGTCTTTAACATTTTTTTCCACCGCTCAACCTATGAATTGCGACAGATCGGGCAACTTGAATCCGTTGAACGAAACTGGCGTTGGCGCGCTTCTCAAACTGTTTCTGTGCGATACGAAACCAGGGAAACTGGTCGGCGTGGTAAATTGCTGAAGTCTCGAGGAAGCTTCCGTCGCTGCCAAAACGAAACCACACTGAGCTGTGCACACGTCATCGCGTAGAATTGCCTCGCGAGAAGCTTCGCGTAAAAGCTGATTACAGTCGGTAATCCTCAGAGAAGCGCATTGAGTCTGAAAAACAGAAACGATTGCAATTTAATCTTTTATATCCGTTTCCCCAATTTATTTCTCTAATTCATTCTAATAATTTATTTTCTGATTCATTCGTTTCATCATTCGTTTCAAAAGGACTTGTGACTTTCCAGAAATCTTTAGATTACCGAGCTTCGAATCGAATAGGAAAAAGTCGAGTGAAACCAAGATATCCCTGTAAGGTATCCAATTTCATAATAAGCGCGTATTGGATTTCAAGAGGTATTTAGTTACGTATATACATAAAAATGGAACAAAATTTAAAAAGGAATAACGTATATATCTATATCCACACGATGCTCGATCATAATTCAAGATTTCTGGTGGAAGAATAATCGCACGAGAGACGATCTCACGATTCAAAAGGATTAAATAATAATACAAGTTAAATACGTACGCCTTCGGCGGTGCAAACGCAGCTGGTGCAAGGCGTAGGGAAGCCAGACTCTCCAAGAGCAACGTTTCTTCCTCCGATCTGGCAACCGTGCCTCGTTTCTCTCCACGCAGTCAGATCCATTTGCGGCATCGAGCCGCAAGGGACTCGCGGATTCAGAAAATTGCTCGGCAAATCGAACGCCGCCCTCTGCATGTCGTTTTGATTGTCCATATTCTCGCACATAACCTTCGACAACGTGGATTTACGAATCTCGGCGAGTTGGTGCTCGGTGAAGCGGATATTCGGATCGTCGGTCTCGTACCAGAATCTATCGCACTTCCTCGCCTGCCTGAATTGTATCGCGATTATACAAGCGAACGTGGGCCCCACCAATCCACCTTGAAGAGGTCTCTCGCTCATCCCGCCTGGGAACAAATCGATGTCGTCCACGGAAGCGTAGATGCGTTTCATCCGAGCTATTACCTCTGGCGCCATCTCCCTCGACAAATCTTCGAAAGTGGTCGCTCTTTTCAGATTGCACAGAGCCCTGTAATTGTTGTACGACGGTATACCGTGATCTCTAGCACGATGAACATTAAGAGCAACCAGGTCGATTCCAGAATACGGTATTCCGCGGATCTCGAACAGATGATTGGTCACCTCACCGGTTATAAATTGATCCAAAGTCTCCATAGGTGTCGCTACCAATCCTCGCGTCATTTCGTCCATCATGTTCGATTGATAGAGCACATCCGGGTCGAAGAAACCATCTCTGAGCAAGATAGACGGTTCCATGTTCTGATAGTTGCGATCCATTCTTGGCAGATGTGGCCTCAACAACGAGTGACCGATCCTGTACGCCGCGGAAGCGAATTCGGTGAGCACGCTGGGATTGCAAGTGGGAGAATATTCCTTGTAGTAGCCTTGCGGCAACAGTTTCAATCCGTAAAGAGTGACAGCGTTCCAACCAAGTATTCGAGGTAGGAATTCATTGTACGTGATATGCTGCAGCATCCCGCTGATTATGCGTCGAGATTGTTGGAACAGTTTCTCGCCATCCCAGTGAGGATTGATCTGCCTCAATCCTTCCACGATTCTATTATGCTCGCGCACCCACATGGTGTGCATGACGGTTAATCCAGGCTGCTCGGACGCTCGACCGTCTCCGCCGATAAAACAGTAACCTGATTTAGCTTTACACTCGGGATGCGTAGGCGATTGAGGAAGGAGATCCTTGGCCCCTCTATGCGGGCTCTGAGTGATGTTCATGCGACCGTTAAAGCCACGAAGTATGTTGCAGATACAAGTGTTCTCTCCGTAAACCACGGATCCATCGAGAAAAGCAGTGTTTTGATTAATTTGTTCCCTCGGTCCGAGATGCTGTTGGCCCGGCAGCGACCTCATAGATGGGAAACACATTCGTGCGCCCGACGTTACGTTCACCGTGGGATAGTAATGGTCACCAGGTGGCACTGGGAAAGGATTACACTCCGGATGAACCGTTCTAGGCGAATCGCAAGAACGGCAGCTAGGTATAGACTCGGCGAAACCTTTGTGAATAGGTGTCATGGTGAGGTCGTGGTCCAGAAATTGAGCGAACTGCATTACCATCAGAGTGTATCGATTGTGCAAGTTGGAGATGTCGGGATGGATCACCGTGGAGATCACTCGGGGGTTTGGTAGAGGCACTCCTGTTACAGAGGTGCTTCTCGGCTTCGACACTCCATCTTCGTAGACCGGAGGCAGCAATCTGGCGAATGTTGTCAACGATTTGCCCAAGTTGGGATTGCGTAGATTGTTGCAGTGGCCCGAGAGGGTTCTGTATGGAGAGGTTGGATCGCAAGGGCTATCGTCCACGGGGCACTCGACTTCGTCGTGATTCGTAGGCTTCTTTTGGGACAGGAATCCGGAAATATCGACGTTTTGCAGCAGATCTGAGAAATCGTTGTTGGGAAAGCCCAGTATATTGTCCGTGGTATCGAAGATCTGTCGTTTCTTGCGTTTTAACCCGTGTATCCCGTTCAAAATTTCATTAGTGGCCAACTCGTACATGATGGAAGAGTTTGCCAACAGGAGGGCATCTCTGTTGGCTTTCGAGAAGCTGGCAGCCGTTCCAGCTGGAGACTTGGGATCAGCTATTCTCTGCTGCAGCCACGAATTGTACTCCAATTGTTTTCTCTCGATCAAATCTGCTTCAGCTTTCTTCACAGCTGCTGCTATTAAACTCGGGCTGAGTTCTGGAATGAATTCAGGGATCACAGATCTGGTGCCAATCACTACCTCCTTGGCCGGCTCTGGAAGTGGCTCTTCTCGCCAAGGAGCTATGTCGAGTACACTGTGCTGGTCGCAATTGATCCTCGCGTTCAGATACGGATCCTGCTGTATAAACGCTTTCGGTTGAATCTTATCGATCTTCGTGTTGGCACATAGGATACCGGCCAGAGAAACTTTTCTAATTTCAGCCAGTTGAATTGGATTCAATCCGGACGGTGGAATGTCATTCTCATACCAGAATCGATCAGAGTTTCTCGTCTTGATGAACTGCCTCTTGAGAAGGCATTCGAACGTTGGACCTATTGTTGCACCCCTTCTAGGAATTTCTAAAATTCCACCGAGCAGCAAATCTATATCTTCCACCCGCGAGTATACGGATTCCAAGAGTCTCGCGTGCACTGGATGCATTAGATGCTCCAAATCCATGAAATTTTGGATCTATGAAAAAAAAAAAAAAAACGAAAGGTACGTTTTAGATATATTGAAGAATCGATGATGAAATGAATTTCTTAAATATTCGAAAGCATTATATCGCAGCAATACGATAAAAAAAATTTTATGTATGCAAATTAAATTGCACAAACGTACGGTCACATTGTGTCCAGAACAATCAGCTACGAACTCGACATATCCGGGGATCCCATGATCACGGCCCATGTGTATTAAGCGCGCGTTCGCGTCGACTCTCGATTCGAAAGCGGAGTGGCTGAGATCGAGGCTCACGCGATTGGCCGAGGCGATCACGTGGTCTTCCAAGCACGTGGCGTTGTCGATTCTGTGGCTGCGCAGCGATGTCAGAGCGCGCAGAGCCGCCAGCGCGACAGCATCGTACGTCCCTCCTACGTTCGAGGACGAGTAACCGTTGTAGAACCCGCTCGAAACAGGCATTAATTCCGGATCCGTTC